CAGCCATCGTAAAATTTCCTTCAAGATGCTCTAGCAGTACAGTTATGAGACAAACAACCTTCACCTTGAGGAGGGACCGTTTGGCCAACCTGTAGAGTAGCGTTTCTTCCATCTTGATATGTGTTTTCCATACCAGTGAGATTCTCTGATGCGGCTAAATGCACCAGGAAATGTGTGCATGTAGCTCTTTCAGCATATCTGGGCTGCCTGTAGCTAGCGATTAGATGAAACTCCTTCATCAGCTCGACAGTTGGCACTTCCGGATTTCTTACCAAAATAGCCCCGATCAGTTAGAAATCATCTGTGGAGACATGTGTACATATAGGGGATCTGCTGACTGCATCACCTTCAAGCTGGCTTTTGTAGTTAGGAACTTATCTATTTGGATACAGAACTGGGTTGGATATTCTTGCTGTGTGAGAATGAGGACGTATCATTCATCTCCTATCTGTGTTGTCTGCAGAATAATGTTAAAAAGTGTTAATAGAGTATCCTGTGGAGGTGCTTATGTTAACACCATGCTGCTAACTTATTCAGTAGAGATGGCTGGCTGGGGTTGTGCTGGGATGTATGGGTTAAACTTCTTGCCATGTAAGAATGGGAGATAAAATTATATTTTCACTGGTCCACAAAGATGATATGCTACATAGTTGCCATCAACTATTATGTCACTAGTCCTTCCTGAATTTAACTGGTCACAACAGACTTATCTTCATTTCAAACCCTGCATGCTCATCAACATTAAAGCCATGAAGATACAACCTTCATCCTCCTCACTGACTTGTGCCGCCATTCTCATCCATGTAACTCTTCATACCAATGACACTTATCCCATCATAACCACTGAGCACCTCATCTTCCCACAAACCCACCCCTCACGGCACCTACTACAACAGCAAAAAATGAACTTGTCAGCACATGAATTACGTATATTCCTGGCACATTGACCATACAATTATTCATTGAATGTTCAGCCACTAAGTGCAGACGTCAAACCTCCACTGACACAGCAACAAGGTGCCCTTGTGTTCACAGTATATTCTCAGAGATATTTTTGGTGAAAGAAACAAGATCAAGATTGGCATGACTATTTATGAAGCTTTTACTCTCAAACAATAAAAGTCATGGTCAAGCAAGTAAGTATTTGACCCGACAAGTTAAAAAACCTCCAATTACTCACCAATCTTTGAGCTGATTTGTGGCCTGTCCAAGATGCTGGCATTGTTGTCAAAAGCATGATAACAAGCACTAATCTAACCTGATAGGTAATTGTTTGTGGCCTAAAGATGAATCCCCAGGAGATAGTCACCATGGTGCTGTGTCTATGATCTGTCTGATGGCAGGGACTGTTCCTGTCAACACTTATCTGGCAGCACCCAAACTGATAAGTAGTTGTCAAGACACCTGATGACCCATTCTTCCAGATATCGGAGTAATATAGCCAATGACTGACCAGCTTCAGTCAGGCATTTCACTCTGTGGCTTTACTTCATGGCTACCCAGGGTCAGTCTGCTTCGTATACTGGCTGAGATTTTGGTTGAGAATAATCTTTCTTTGTTTGAAGAACTCTGACATCTGGTAAACTATCATTTTGGTGTGTAAAATCTGAATCAGTATTATTTTATTTTAAAAAGATAAGGGCGGACATCCTTGGGGACCTTCTGTGGTCATATATGTAATGAGTGTCTTCGCTTGACAACTTTTCCCATGTATCATCTGTTATAGCTTATATAGACCTAACTGCAGTCAAGCATTATGTTCCATGTTTGTCTTTAAATAATGTTGGTAGAGGAATGGTGTAATAGTTGAAGCTATTGACTATTATGTTGAAGGTCTTCATAATTCCTGGTGTATACTCAGTGATATCACTACAGTCTTGCTAATAACCAAACTCACTCACACTCTGATGGCTGCAGTCAATATGTCAGCAGTTTAAGTGCTTGAGGAGGTGGATGAATTCCAGAATTTCAGTGTGTGTATGTTCATACTGGGGCAGAAGGGTTGGACAGAGAGTTGTCTTACAGATGATGGGTCGTGACTATGCCAGGAGAATGGCCAGGTTCTGGTGTCAGGTTGATACCTGGAATGTATCTTGTAGACTGCTGACTGTTGAATACTGATGAGCACTCCTGCTTGAGTGTGGGTGTGACCAGGTTGAATCTCACATTATGGCCCTCCTCTCTGACCTCCTTTATTGAAGAAGAAACAGTTTGACCATGGCAGGTTTAGTAACAGGTTGTCAAAAGTGGATGACTTGTCATACTAAAACCTGGGTTGATTTCACAAACTAGTGTAAGATAGTATTTCTACAAAACCTGATGATCCCCTAGACCAATCTTTAGTAGCAACATTAAACCTCACTCACTCACTCACTCACTCACTCACTCACTCACTCACTCACTCACTCACTCACTCACTCACTCACTCACTCACTCACTCACTCACTCACTCTCACTCACTCACTCACTCACTCACTCACTCACTCACTCACTCACTCATTCATTCATTCCATGGCTGGTCAAAACCTTGTCAGTGATGCTGTCTAATCTGACAGCTTCATAGTCTGGCAGTTCCTGACAGTTGGAAGAATGGGGAGGTAGGATTGTTGGCCGTGTTGTGTCGCCTCCTGCTGAGGTGTATTGACAGACTAGCAACTGATCATCTACTGTATGGAGTGTCACAACATGGGGCTGGGAAATAGGTGGTGTTGTGTGGTCGTGTTGCATGTCACGGCATGACTGCCACATACTCGGCTATAACAGTGGCCTATCTACAACGGCTGATTATTAACCTCACAGCGTGTCACAAATAAATAAATCCTTCTTCATTCAATTGGAAAATCTGAATAATGAGAATGCCGGTAAAAGATTATATTTGCCCCTGTATGTAATACAGATTATGATTACTGTCATTGGAGGTTTGATGAAATATTAATGATAATAATATATATGATGATGTGTCATGGCTTACAGTAGCATGTGATTGTTTTATTAAATACCGATGGTAATGCAGCTGACATGAAAATACAGAAATACAAATCAGCCGTTAACCTTTACATGACAAAAATTCACATAATAACTTTTTTGAAGAAGTAAGAAATCTGGTATTAACTTTTGAAATGCAGTCCCTTCCAATACAGACTGTTAGGTAATAACAGCAGTCCATCATGCATTCACGGGGGATACAATATTTGTCTCAAATGCTACTTTCTTAAAGACAGTTTATTGATTCTACTCCCAAAAGGCTTTGTTTGACAAAATAGTCTTGTCTTAATATCTGTTCTAGCTTTTTTGCCCTGTATTCTCTAAATGTGTGGTAATGGATCCTTGAAAAAATATGTTTAATTTACAACTTTCCCATTATTTATTATCATGTTCAGCTTCCGTTTTCGATTTATCTTTGACAAGTGGTGCTGCCTTTCATCTGGCAGATAACAATATTGATTGCAGTTAATGTGAAGTAGTTGTAAGGAAATGTTACACTGTTAAGATCTGATCTGATATTTTGTATGAAGAGCTGATTCACAGCTTCAACATTTAGAACTTAAGAGAAATGACTCATGTGGATTTAGAGTTATGTATTTATTACCTGAATGGAACCTTCAGCTTTTGATATAAAGTATGATGGTTTTTTAAAGTGCTCGATTCATCTCATGGCTTTATAACTTCATCACGTCATATGTCTAAACAGAATTTGACAGCTAAGGAAAAACAGGTCTTTGAATGGCATTTAGAAGGGATATAAATAAGGAAGGGAGTTTTAATGGATGTCAACTTCTTTATTATGAGGAACACATTATTCTCTGAAACAGGTTGACATCCATAACAACTCATTTCCTTAAGGAAAAACATTTTCAATGTCTGCGTTCTAATGCTGTGTCATGTTTCAACAACCAGAGATGTAAGGAATCTTGTAAAGATAAAGTTTTGTTGATTTTGTCAACAAATTTACATCCTGTGTGTTACATGGAAAGTATTTGGCGCCACTCATATCTCCTGTAAATACTTTTGCACCAAGTATGCATCACAATTAGCAGTCGTTGTTAGCCTTTTAGCATCATTATAAACCTTCCTTCCATAAGGAGATCAACAGTGTTGTCGGGGCGGTGTCATGTTCGTTATGTCACACTGTAAGGTAATGAAGAAACATAGCTTGTACTTGTCAACCTTCCATATTTCACATTAACTGACACATCAGGGGAGATGAGTACGGGTTGGATATGAAATAAGTTTTAGATCAATTTATTTTTCATTTAGCAGTCAAGGGGAGTGGTGCATATGTTGTGGGGAGAAAATTGTATGGGTTTTTTTTCTTGATGTATTCATTCTGCTTGAATTAAACAAGAGAAGATAAGTTATTTGTTGCCCTAACATCTAAAGTTTTCTATGAATTCTTATTTAGTTACGAATGGGATCCTTGTCTTGATGGTAAATGTCAGGATTATGGGGTTCCCTGGCTCACATACTACGTAGTTTCCTAATATGGACATGATATGTTTACCACGAATACACCAACACGAAAAGCAAAACCAGGCTAACCCAGGGTTAGGATGTGTTAACAATCAGAAATAGATAATGACTAATCTCATATCGGTTCTTTTAAGTGTGAGTTTAGTGTAAGAATTACATATATTTAAAGTGTTATTACCCTTGTGTGTTTGTGAATGATAAATATATGTTAGGAGGAAAAATGTGCATTATGCTTGCTATAAAAATTTATGACATTCACCTGACATCCAGAAAATTCTTGCTTTATGTGTGTTACTTCTAAATGCCCTTCAAAGACTCAAAATTCATGACACAAAATCGCTTTTTCAAACTAATATATGGAAACAGTGAGTTCACAACTTGAAGTTTCATTAGCTGCGTACAACAAATCAATTATATGATCAGCTGTGTGGTTTGATTTGCTACACAAATTTGAAGGATGACATGCCTGAAGATTCTCCTGTTCAAAGTTGATGTCCAACCATGCTTATATTTGTCATTGTTTCTTTCAGACATTGCCTTGGATTGGTCTGATCACTTACTATGGTGGCCAGAGAAGAACATGTGGTTGGATCGCACACGGTCCACCCTGGACCAGTACAACGTGCAGGCCGATGCACGTCTCCATTTCACACCAATGCACAAGAATCTTCGAGTGCAGTTACCTGACTTGCAAGTTTTAGAACTTCGTGTTGACTTTTCATCCCGAGTTTTCGCTGCCGTCATCAGCTTGTGCAAGGAGCTAGGTGAGTGTGACAATGGTTTTATCTCATACTGAGTGGACGATGCATGATGCCACAGTCAGTAATGGTCCAGGGCCCCGTTCCTCCAAGCGAACGTAGTGCTATGACAGTCGTAAGCCTATGTTAAAGTATGGGAGTTACGATCATCTTAGAGCTATGATCAATTTGAGGAACGGGGCCCAGGTGTGTCAAGACAATCTGAAACTTGCGTTTGAAGTCATGAGCACAGAGTCATTACAAAGTGTGACAGAACTGTTATAATCACCCATGATTGTGTCGGTTTTACTTGTTTAAGATGCAGTGGGCAATGAATTCCTTGTTCAAATCAACCGCAGCAACAATATCATGACATCAATGGTTTCACTGTTTTTCTGTATTTATCATCAAGACAAACACATCAATACACAACGGACCCTGAGCTTTTGTCACATATGTAACTGGTCATCCAAGTTTGTTTTGCATAAGGAAACAAACTAAATCAGCCTACCTACCAAACATAATCTGTTATGGGTATATTCCCCGACACATGTAGATTTTCCTGTATGGTCTCCGCAGGGGGTACAGTATTTCATTACGTGTATCACCGTTCCAGATAGTGGTCTCATCAAAATGCAACCAACATCAGACTTGCTTGTGGAATGAGCTCATGGTTGAACACCATTTTTAGGTATTAATATGATATCTCAGTGGAACTGATATTTCGGTAATGTAATATTTCGGGACTTATCAATTTGATAAGTGAATATGGTGTTTTGGTAGCAGCTGTCTGAACTATCTGGATACAATACCCTCGCAGCTGGGATGAGCATGATGATGACAGCATGATGGGTAAATCAGTGGCTATCTAGGTCAGGTCAGCAGAGGTCAGCAACTGCATACTTCCTGAACCATAGATGAGGCTACTGAGGAAGGGGGCATTGGCAAAGTTACCTATTGTAATTTGGGTGCAATTGTGAGGTGAAATAGTTTAATGTTGTTTTCAAGATTATTTCACTCTTGGCGACAACATTTGGACATGCATGATCAAAAGCATTTGACTTACAGTAACTGCTCTGTAGATTTAATTTTTTAGACAAACACTAGTGATTTTTCAGGTGGATGTTGATTTAACTCAGAACTATTGGAGCATGAAATGGTAGCAAGTTTATACCAGCAGGTCGACTTGTCAGTTGAATTATTACCTTGTATAATAGTGTAGTGTATCATGTTGAGTGGAGCCCATCCTAGCGAGACTCCTCATTCACCTACAGCATGCCTCATTTAACATGTCTCAGTTTAATGTTTCTCTTCCATTCAGATAAGCATGCAGTTCTCGTGTGGTATTACCAATTGACAAAAATGTTAAAGCCCTTCTCCACATAGAATGCATGTCCTATGTTATGTTTTCGAGCGACATATTGAAAGGGTTGGAGCAGTTATAGATGGATATTTGAACTTGACTTATGTGATATATTAGAGCAGTGATTTCTTGAAGAAAGTTTAAAAAGTCAAGAAAAGTCTGTGTAACTTTGTAGATGGATGGATAAGGTGTTTCTTTGTCTTGTAGGGCAGTGGGGTAGCAAAGTGGTAAAGGCTTCTCTCATTGTGCAGAAGTCCTGGGTTCTATGCCCTGCAATGTACAAAACTGACATAAGGGTATGCCTGAACTTTGTTTTCAGGCGAGCACTAATTAAATCTATTCATCAGTTTTGTTTGTGAGAGATCGAGTGGTATTCAACAAATTTTGTTCAATGACAGTGAAACTGTTATCTATTACAGTTATTAGGAAGTAGTATTCCCTTTCTTCACTGCTGTCGATAATCTGTACATAATCTGTAGTATGCACAAAGATACAGACTGTCATGTACAGTTTTATGTTATAAAGATTACATACAGATTGGTCTAGAGGTTGGTCAGAGCACTTACTAAGGCAAATACGGTAATACCATATTGGACATGGCATTGAGCTTCTGTCAGCACCTCCTGGAGTTTTTGACCCAGGAGTAAGCAATCTCTGCAGGACTTCAATTAGCAACCCCTATATACTATACCTGATCTTGGGGATGAAGAACAGGGATATGGGTGGGGAGGGGTGAGATGGACACAAGGTGTTAACGTGGGGGGAGGGTTGTGAGGTCAGGCTCATTTGGCTGCCAGTCCTCATTACTTTGAAGGGGGTTCTATATAGAAAGTAAAGGAAAACCTGAACATGCCCAGCTGCATTGTATTAACATTGTGCGCACATGCTAAGACGAGTAAGTGAATAAGGAATTACACACCTTTTAGCAATATTCCAGCAATATCACAGTTTGGGACACCAGAAATGGGCTTCACGCATCCCATAGAGGGAATATGGGTCTTCAACTATTTTGGTGCAGATGTAGCAAGGTTGTATATCCCAAGTGACCTTTGTTTCACAATCCAAACAGAATTCATGTGGACTAATGTAGTAATGCCTGCTGTATATCTACATTGTATGCAAATGGGTTGGAATGCCTTCCAAATCTGGTATCACTACATCCATAGCTTACAGATTATAGACATTATTGGATTCTTCTTGGTGAGTAGATCTACGTCAGAGTTGGTTCAGTGTCAAATACATGGTATATTTAAGGCACCACTAAGTTTTGTCTGTATGTTGTTTCGCTTGTCATGCTGACGGCCAGAGTTCGATTCCTCACATGGGTACAATATGTGAAGCCCATTTCTGGTGTCCCCTGCGTGGTATTGCTGGAATATTGCTGAAAGTGGCATAAAACCATAATCACTCACTCACTGTATGATGTACTGTATGTCTTTTAAGCACCATTAATGTTTGTTTGAATGAGGTATAGTACCCAGCTTTCCCTCGTGTGGTTCTAACAGGTGTGGTATGCTGTGTCTTCGGAATGTCTAGTAGTTACCGTGAATGTTAACATATAATACCAGTACTGTTGCTGCTAATGAAGGGAGTGGTCTTTGCTCGCATTGATTAAACTGTGCATTTGCCTTTCAAAATTGTCTGTTGACACGAGGTAGGGCTTCCCTTTTAGGTTACATGAATCCAAATAGTTTCCCATAGATTTCTGTAGTAGTTAAATAATTATTCATTCAACAGCCATTAAATGTACATATTTGCACTGTCTTTCCTTACAAATTTTTGCTGGCTGGACAAAAAAATATTATTGAGTTCACCAGTAGCATTATTTTAGAGATGCATTAATTTCAAGATTTACAATTGATCATAAAATAGAAATGCAACCAGAAATATTTGATAGACAGCTTGTCATCCTTATGATTACATTGCTATGAAATGATAACACCCTGAGAATAATGGACAGATGCCATCCCTTTAACACTGGAACAACTGGCCTTGCTGCAAATAAAGACAGAATATTGTCTTGACAAGACTTAGAGTGCATCACCATCTCACACAAAACAAGCAGACGTGACAGTGTGTTAACCTACTTACACCTCACTTAAAGTACTTCCTGACCCAGAAAAAGAACCTTCTTAAAATATTAATGTTGCCACAGATGTCAGTAGGTTTTGACCTCCATCTCTCTGATTCTGATAATCCCTCATCCATTACAACTTGGTCAGATCAAAGTGGCCAGTCTCTGGTCAAGGAGTTGGTCAGGCTGGATGTAAGGGTTGGCTGGAGCATCCAAGATATGATTAGACAGAACTGTTGTGTTGAGAGTTGGTATGTGACTCTGATGGAGAGACAGGCTTAGTGGTGTGTGCTTCACCATCATCAGGTTGCTGGTAATGCATTTCATCTGCAGACATCAAACCCATATCACGCGATCAGTAAACAGAATGAAGTAATCCGCTCTACTAACCTTTTGGATCTTTCAGAGATGTTCTATGACATTTGTTCCAAGTATATTCGCAGATGGCAGCTGAGGTGGAGCTATGGCACATGACGAAATGCATTCTTGAGACAAAATCTTAGGATTGTATGGAGGTTTTTGTGGTTTTCCTTGTAATATGTCTGGTTGGATCATGTTCCTTTTGTGTAAAAAGCAAATATTGATAAATGTCACTGGCCAGAAAGATGCCAAAGGGAATTGTCTTTTGTTATAACTGTTCTGATTTCAAAATTTGAATTTTAAATATTTGAATTATGAGCTGAGTAACAGTAGGTATAATGATTTGAAAGAGATATTAAATATTGAAAAAGAGGATGAAGGACAAAGCCACTTTGTGTAGACCCAGTCTCTGGATCATCTTATGCGACTATCAGACAAATCTGTATCAAGCTATAAATGTCATGTTACGCAATGTAAATATCAACAGGGTTAGAATGCAACACACTCCAGACTAAACTTGATAAGTAAATAACAGCCATGTCTATCATGCAGACCAATCTGGTGCAGAAGTAGCATCGACAAATATCACCAGAACATACTGACTCTTAAAATAACACCTATAGCAGAGCTGTAATGGCGGCTGTGCCAGTCTTTTGTGTAATATTTAGGCCAGTTGGCTTTAATATGGAGACACTATAATTTGAGCACATTTATCTTGATGTAGGCAAACTTGTGGGCATAGTTGCAGATGAAAGATCAGCTCTGATCTTGTGTATGTATTCAAGCCCGAAAACCTGCTGGTGTACAGTGTGTGTTAGACTGGTTTGTACGTCAATGTCCTTTTCTCTGCAGCTTTTCAAATGGTAAAAGATTTATATGTGTCTTTAACGGAATCATTTTGAATTAAGCTCCTAGTTGCCTTGGATATGACATCAGGTAAATGGAAAATGATCAAGAGATAACCACTACGTTGCCGTAGTTCTGGGATTGTTGTGATGCACTTTGGTTAGGTATACTACAATGGTTCATGCATGAAAACTCAACATCTGATTTGGCAAGGGACAAATTTCATCATACAAGTAAGCTAGGCAGGAAAAAAATCAGTTTATAAGGTTGTGTTGTTTTGGACATTTCATGATACAAGGTGTTATGATACAAGCACTCAGTCACACTGGAACAAATGTTCTACAAACCTCAAATTGTCTTTGGCATCGCTTTCTGTGGATTATA